TTTGCATATTTACCTTCTTTCATTTCCCAGATTCTGGACTTTATCTATCGACCGGTTTTGATTTTTATTTGGATCTACTTTGAATTGCGTGACACTGAAAACCAGCAATAGGGTAGGGAATATCGCATATTTTGGTCATAAATAGGGTAAGGGTTTTGGGAAACGGGCCGCACACCCCAACCCAATTTTTCTGGGAGTACATTAAGAACAAAAGCAAGGCTTAGGGACAATCTCCTTCACATCGTTTTACAGGTAAATCAAAGAAAAACAAAACCACTTATCTTTCTCACTGGAATCCACGCGAAAAAGAACGACGGCTCAACCGAGCCGCAGACGTTCTCGTGTTGTTCGTGGCGCAACGCACTCTGGTAAAAAGTGGCGCACTGCACTCTGGTTAAATGCAATGCACTCTGGTAAAAAGTGATGAATTCGACAATTCGTACTCCCTTCTATATATTCTTCTTAAACCCTGTTTATGTTGCTGCTCGCTCGCAACACTCGCTCTGCGGCAATTACAATAACCTACACTTACACTAAGTACAATACTATAACAGTAGCCCTGCTAAACAATATACAAATAAACGGTGTTTACACTTATAGCAATATGGTACTTATCTAATTTCTTGCTTCTCGTTGCAAGAGATTTGTTGTTCTGAGTAAGTTTTGTGTGTGCGCGACTACGAAATAGCGACAGGCCTCGATAAGCGAGACGAATCGATATATACTACGATACTTTACTTCTGCCGTCATGTCTTGATTGACCACTGGTCGCCCAAGCATGCAACCCCCGGAACAACCCCTTAACATTTGGCAACCCTCGCATTTGGCGGGGAACGCAAACCTGATGTTGTTATCTAATATTTATTTCATCTCCTGTTGGTTACCATGCTCTGTGACATTCTAAGATGGATGGTTGAGTATTTCTGTCACCAAAACTGACTGAAGTGAGTAAAAGGCATAAAAAATATAATCATACCATTCAGAGCATGTTTGCATAATTTCAGCAGTTGGTGAGCCAAGGTATTTAAACATGTCTTTACTGCTCCATGTGAATGGTGCAAATTTTTAGAAAAGGTATGAAACAATCACTTCAATGTATATTATAACGCTGTATAACCACAACAATGACAAAAGTTCTAATTACTTATTGCAGATTTATGCATTTAACAAAAAGCCCCCAGGCATACTAGTCTCACTCAATATCGCCGAGAAAAACAATCTGAAACAATTTTAAACGCAATTTTTTTATTATTATCTCGTTTGTCAGTAAACGCTCAGATTTTTTTCATTGGCAAGGAGTGAAGTGACATTTAACCCTTTAATCCAAGATCAACCACTAGATTTTCCTAACCTTTTTGCATACTTAGATGCTTTTTATGAAAAAAGAGATTCAGTCAAGACTGTTTCTGAAATGATCTGATCCTAAATTCTCATGACCTGCTAGTCTTAATTTGTTACAAAAGGTAAGGAGAAGCTAGAAATTGGTCACTGCTGCTAGCTTGGAATAAAAGGTAAAATTGTTTCATTACATATCACTTCTTCCCCTTGCCGCCAGGAACCAGCGGCTTCCCTTTATCTTTCCCACGAAGCTTGACACCTGAAAATAACAAACAAAGTCAGGATTTGGATTAATTGCAGGGATCCCAAGTAATCAGCCGGGAAAGTATGCCAGATGACATAATTGCCCTGGAAAAAATTTTACTTGCCTGTTCACATGCTATGTGATGCACTTTGGGATGGATACAATATGGCGGAACAACGAAATCAAATTAATTAATCAAAGGGTGCTTTCCATTATGCCAATGATTCCAGAAATTTCGGTCGGAATTCAAATGGAAAGGTCCTTTTCGGTTCCTTCCAACCGGAATACTCGGGATCACCTCTGGAGGTGGTCCACTTATTTTGATTGGAATTTTCCAACCGACATTCGCTGTTCCATTTTTGACAAACTGGTTCTTTGCCCTAATAAGGGAATTTGGTAAAGGAATTAAAAATCGCAAGGGCCATTCGTATTGGTTGGCCTGGTTTAATCAGAAAATGTCTTTCCATTTTCCTCGGGTATTCCCACTGATCTCTGATCGGTCAGTTTGGCATAATGGAAAGCCCATCCTCTTGTTAAAAATAAGAAAAAAAACAAAAAACTTTCATCAAATAAATTTTGATCAGCAAGGCTGGGGATGTCCGTGGAAAACGGTTTATCGGTTCCGTTATTTCTGAATCACGGCCGATACAGAAAAACCACTCTTTAACTGTCATGAAGGCTAAGAGGAACGCTTTCACTCTTCCTGCTTGCATTTGGCTTGTTTTTCCAAAGTGTTAACATTACTAAATGCCATATCCTGATCAAGACGACCAAAACAGCTGATGCAATCGTGCGATGTGTCGTTCGCGGATGCAGATGCAGTACAGAGCATCGGTGGTTAACAAAATGAAAATTGAGCCTGCAGTGATTTCATTCATCACGTCATTCAAGATGGGGGACCAAAATGACGATTTTATTGTGAAAGAAAGCTGCAAATCTTTCGCTGTTTTCTGAAAGTTCCAAATGGATAACAAGTGGCCAGAATGCAGGGAACTCATGAGAAAATTTAAGAAATGTTTTTTTCTTTTTTTCTGGTAGAGTCAAACTAAAGTCGTCCAGCGAACGAGTTTCCATATTGTTTTGGTCATCCCTGCAACGACCGAACGACTATGAATATGGATCCCTGTTAATTGCAATCCAACTTTGCTTAGAGGAGAGCAAATATCAAATGAAACCAGCTTCAAACTAAAATGACATGTGTGTCAGGTAAAAAAAAACAAACAGCCTGCAGAAAATTACCATTTCCACAGGAGAAAATAACACTTCATCAGATACCTCACATCAGGCAATTTAGTGTATATAATCAATGTAATCTTATTGTTTAGCTTTGTTCAAAATTACTAATAATGTTTTCAAAATGATGCTATTAGAAGGTATGTGATAAGTTATATAGAGGAAGCCTGGCAGACCATCCCAAACTCTCCCCTTGTGTCTTGGAAAAAAACACTTATTTAAACAAATTACAGTCTGTTAGAATCCCCTAAACAATTCACTGAAAATCATCACCTTGCTTTTCTAGATGTATAAATAATTTCTTCACATACGAGCAAGCATACGTACAGATACCCCTTAGACAGTCATAACAGACAAAAAGGTCTTGCGCCACAACAACATGCAAGCTGGCGCAAGAAGTGAGAATGTGGTAATGTGCAGTTTACCTGCAAGAACTTTTGGAAATGGAAGAAGTTGAAAGTCTAAGGGTAAGAAGACGCGAGAAGTTTTGATTCTAACCGCAAGCAACTAGGAGGGTTGTTTGAGTCAATAATAAAGAGACAAGGATCTGCATTGACTTAAATTAAGTAATTGCTATAGATCTTAAGTTTACATGTATAACGTCATTTAATAAACTCACCAAGAGTTCTTTCAAGTTTACTCAGCACCTGATTGTTGGGAATTGCTCTCCCAGACTCATAATCCATTATAACTTGCGGTTTTTCATTGATTTTCTGTGAAAAAACAAAACACAAAAAAACACACAGCTGAGTCAGTGTGAGAAAATTACCATTGTGAATACCACTAATGTACTGTTCTTCTTGACAAAAACAACTGTAGCCAGCAACAAAATTCTGAAATCAACTCATTTGTAAGGGCGACATGCACAAGGGAACAGATGAATTCCCCAGCACTAGTCCTTGCAACAAGTCCTTTAAAGTGTCTACAAGAGGGGATTGTTTGCAGGGACTAGCCCCTTAGTGTGTTTACATGCGGGGACTAATTGCACAGGAATATAGCAGAAACTAGGGACAAAAGGTACATGTAGCATTCTTTCACTCTGTAGCTTTGCAAAGTTAAACCAAAGCTATTTAATTAACAATGTAGCATTGAAATAAATCAGCACAATAAAACTGTATGTTGTTAACTTAATTATTTGGTGCTTGTTTTATTCTGATTTTGGGTTAACAGTTGTCATTTTGTTTTTAGTAAAATTCTATTAGAATTTTCCTGGTTGTAATACCCCAAGCTGCTTTTTCAACATCAACTTCATCTTCCTAATGCCAAGCCAGGCTGTAAGCCCCCATCCAAAACAAAGTTCGTAGAAATTACGATGGGAACCTATCATAAGGATATGTGATTGGTTTAATTTTAACTAATTTGGTCACAG